AATTGCCCTTTGTCTGTCAACCCTAGGCAAAATTCAAACAAAAACAGGTACCCGGTATCCACAGATCCTTATGCATTAGGCATCAATGACGGCTTTTTTGACAAACCAAAAAACTGAATTTTGTGAGCTCCTGTGAGTGTGACATCATTCTGGGCACTTTCACACACGTCACCCTCACAGTAACCCTGGGGTGTCACAGGATTACTGTCTCCATTTTCCAGACGGGAAAGTGGAGGCCCTGGCAGATGAAGTGCCTTGTTCCAGAGCATATGTCACGTTCATAGAACCCAGGTCTTCTGGCCCCAAGATGAGTGGTCTGCCCTTGGCCTATCTGAGAATCCCTGGTGGTAGGGGATGGGAGGGGTCCCACCTGTGAAGCCTTTGTCAGGGGCAGTGGGCAGGTGTTTGGGGGCATCTTCCAGCAGGCGGTCCAGGTACTTCGTGCTGGGGGGCACCTCACTGGGTTCCCAGGGGCCGGAGCAGAAGAGGCTCAATGAGGGGTCCAGGCTGGCATGGATCTCACCGATCGCTGCAGGGGAGAAAGGGTAGGTCGGCAGGCAGTCCAGGAAGCCACGCACTCCTAAGACCTACGTTCATGTCAGGTGGCAAGTTATCAGGGGAGAATGACTGAGTTGGAGGACAGGAGGCCACTTCTAGAGATGAGTGAAGCACCAGGGACCTCATCATAAAGGAAGATGCTGGCTGGAAGCAGCATCTCTCGGTAGCTGCTGGCTAACTACACCCCTGGCTCTTTACACGCATTCACCTGTTGACACAACCCTAGAAAGTCGGTACCAATAACACCTTGTTTTATAGATAAAGAAACTGAGGATCTGAGAAAGGAAGGGACTTGCTCACAGCTTGAGTCAGCTCTGCCTCAACCTAAGTTTGTATTCTTTTTTTTTTTTTTAATTTTTCTTTGTGATTTGGGTGAAAGTTTACAGAACAAATTCATTTTTCATACAGCAGCTCACACACATACTTTGTCTCATGACATTGACTTCAATCTCCCACAATGCAACAGCTCCCCTCCCACTTCCTCCCCATAGTTACCTCTTCCCTGTGTCCTTCCCTCCCATGCACTCCTGCCCCCTGAGCTGTCTCCCTGTGCATACAGCCCTTCTATTCTCTCATGATTGATCTCTCCAAGCAGTGTATCTACCTATTGTAAATGTTCAGCTCATATGCCTGTTTTTTGTTTGGCTGGAAGCCACAGGAGTAGGTTCAATTCCAGACCTAAAGGACAACTAGGGGCCATAGTTGCAGTGGTTCCATTAGGCTCTATCCAACTGGCAAATCTGTCTTTTATTTTTTTTTTTTTTAATGATTTTGAGTTTTGTTCCACACTGTTCTCCCTCTCTATCCAGGATATCCTACAGAGATCCCCCTCTGAGTAGCTGACGGTGGTAGCTGGGCATCGTCTAGTTTTTCTGGACTCATAGTCGTACAAGCTGAGGATCAGATGGTATACCAGTTACTAAGTTTGTATTCTTATTCACTGCCACACTAAAACCATGGGGTCTGGCTGAAAGGGAAGATTGGGGGTCAGAGGCCAGTGGCCCTCTGGCCCCTTCAGTGAGTGAGAACCTTCTCTCAGGCTCTGCTGTGTACTGCACAGACATCCAGATACGCCTCTGTGCTCAGTACAAGCCAGTCCTGACTTGCTCAAACTCATTTCTTCTAGCTGCCACCTGCTTCATCCAACCCACTCCTCAATGCATCCTTCCTTCTCCCCTTTCAGCATCTTAATAACCTTCCCTATCCATTACCCCACAACCATGGCAGTGTATGTATGTGTGTGTGTGTGTGAAACACGGACACTGGTCATGTCTAAGATTAAATCCAAAAATGTAGAACAGAACCTCAAATTATTAAAAAATTCAGACTTACTGAACCAGTTGAGACTGGAGGACTCCCCGGGACTATTGTTCTAAGATACTTTTTAAAGCTTGAACCAAAACTATCCCGAGGTCTCCTTTTAGCTAAATAACAGACTGGCTCACAAAATAATGACTATCACCCATGAGTACCGTGCCTCTTTAAAAAATCACCTCTATGCACATCAACAGAAGAATGGATAACCAAACTATGGCACGTATACACCATGGAATACTATGCAACACTAAAGAATAATCTAGAATCTGCAAAACAGCATATAACATGGATGAACTTGGAGAACATTATGCTGAGTCAAATAAGTCAATCACAAAAGGACAAATATAGTATTAGTTCATTATTGTAAAAAGTCAAGGAAAGGTTTAGATATGGAAGGAAACTTTCTTTGTTGGTTACCAGCAGTGGGAGGGGAGGAGAGGGAACACTGCAAAAAAAAAAAAAAAGCATTGACCCATGTCACTTTAGTTTTGTGTATTCACTGTATATAAATTATATTTCAATAAAACGTATTTTTTAAAATATTACCTCTATGAGACTAAAAGGTCAACAACTACTTTCAAACACAGAAAGGGGCAGGGCAACTAAATTACTGGAAATGGAACTACCAGAATGGAAATAATGAGAATGGTCATGCATTGTGGAAAATGTGACCAATGTCACTGAATAATTTTGTGTGGAAATTGTTGAATGGGAACCTAATATGCTGTGTACACTTTCACCAAAATACAGTAAGATACTAATTGTTTTAAGAAAAGATCAAATCCGAGTTCCACTACTTACCAGCTGTGTGACTTCTAGTGAGTTCCTTAAACCCCACTGAAGCTATCTCCTCATCCACAAAACTGAGTTGACAATCCTACCTCAGATTAAAACTGCTGCTCAGAAAGCACCAAACTCAGCATCCTGTCGGTACTCAGCTGGCAGCAAGTAAAGCACAAGCTCTTTAGATGCAGGGAACAGATTCATACTCCCATTTCATAGATGAGACAAGTAAGGTCTAATTACTCAACAAGAATGGTTACCATTATACCTGCATTCGAACTACAGGTAAAGTATCTGCTTGAAAACGGTACGGAGTTGTTATGATCACTGAGGAATCTGAGCTTAGAGAATTCAGGACCTCCAGCTTACAAGGGTAGGAGTACAGGTGGTCTGACTCTAAGGTTCATGCCCTTAACCACTGAGCCATGATGCCTCCCCGACAGGGGAGCTGTAACCTGTGCAAGGTCTTATGGGACTCCCTGCCCCACCTCCATCTACTGACTCACCACCCTGGGGCTCACCTGGGGCCATCTCACTACCAAAGATGAGGACCCGTGCCTGGGAGGTGGTCAGACAGTGGCACAGGGCATCCCGACGGAGGTTGGTGTTGATGAGTGCCGCCTCCACACCCAGCTTGGCCATGCCCAGCCACAGGCCCACGAACTCGTTGCGGTTCTCCATGAATAGGGCAGCCACATCACCGGAGGCCAGGCCCCAGGTCTGCAGGAAGTTGGCCACGCTGTTCGAGTAGTCATCCAGCTGGCGGAAGGTCCAGTGGGTGTCTGTGCCCTCAAATATCAAGGCTGTCTTGTCAGGGTGGCGCCGTACCATAGAGGCAAACAAAGTGGGCACCGTCCGCTTTTCCTGCAGGTACCGCCGCACCTTTGCCTTCACCTTCAGGAGCACCAAGCCACCGCTGTGTGGGAGCAAGGGAGACATGTCTGCCTGGGGGGGGGTCCTGACACCCAGCCCAGGTTTGAGCCCCCCAAGCTGAGCCTCATCAGTCAGATGGCTTATAACAATCCCCTTCCCAAGCACCTCTAGGTACCAGGCACTGGATAAGTCCCGCCACGTGCCCAATCTTAACAGTGCCTTACAATAACACTGAAGGATTGGTGCAATTACTCTTCCCTGTACAGACAAGGAGGCTCAGACAGTGCAGTGGCTTGCCCAGGGCCTCACAGGTGAGATGTGGCCAGGACAGTATTTGAATACCAGGCCATTCTGGCTCCAGAGTTCAACTCCTACCCTCTAAGCTCTGCTCTGAGCCTTTCAGGCTCCCCAGGGTCCCAAGTTCAAGTCCAAACTCCTCATTTAGAACTTCTCTGTAATGTACCTTCCTCTCACCACTCATCACTATAGTAAATAAAGGATGAATCTGTAGATTTGTCTTCTTTCTCCCCATGAGCCCCACCAGGATGGGGTTCTGGGCACAGAGCAGATGCCCAGTAAGTGTTTGGAGAATCATTTGCCTACCCCCCAACCCCCGCCTTCTAGACAAAAAAAAAAACCAAAACAACCCACTGCCATCAAGTTTATTTCAACACGTTGTTGTTGTTATATGCGGTCGAGTCAGACCCGACTCATAGCGACCCCTCCTTGGGTTTCCAAGGCAGTATTACTATGGAAGTAGATTGCCCCATCTCCCTTCCAAGGAGTGGCTGGTGGGTTTGAACCACCAGCCTTCTGGTTAGCAGTCAAGTGCCTTAGGCACTATGCTACCACAGCAACCCTCATTGGGTTTCCAAGGCAGTAAATCTTTACAGAAGTAGGTTGCCCAGTCTTGCTTCTGTAGAGTTGCTGGTGGGTTTGAACCACCAACCTTCTGGTTAGCAGTCAGATGTGTTAGGCACCGTGCTACCAGAGCTCCTTCCCCTGCCTTCTAGCCCTCCTGAAATGCCTGCCAGCTCTCCAAACTGTATGCCTTTGCTAATATTGTTCCCTCTGGTTAAAATACCCTCCTCCTACCATGTTGGGCAATCTACTTCTGTAGTGATACCACCTGGGAAACCCAAGGAGGAGTTGCTATGAGTTAGATCTGACTCGACAGCAGTGAGTTCGGTTCAGGTTACCACCTTCAAGGCACAGATCAAGTATAATTACTTTTCCTACAGAAGGCATTCTCTGATTCCCTAGTCCACTGACCTGAAGCCATCTCTTTTTGCTCCACCACACTCCCACAGTTGTGACAACCCTTCCTGTTGTGGTCATTCAATACCTCATTCTGTAATCAATTCAAGTGGACAAATGCTGAGACACCTAGTGTGGGCATGGGACAGTATTAGGTGCTGGAATACAGTAGTGAGCAAGACCACCAGGGCCTCCGTCTGCATGATGATGCAAGTTTAGGAGTCCCTGGCTGGTCTGAACTTGGCCCAGGAGTGGACTTGCCTCTCTAGGCCCCAAAGCCCAGCTGGGTGCCTGGCACAGTGGAAGCAGGTGTTTCTGGTACAGAATGTCCCTGTGGACCATGACTGCCTTTCACCTAGTAGCACGTTCTCCCACATATCTGACTGAGGGCTATGCTCTAAGACTTATCAGTGCCTCTGTGCCCTCTTAGACTTCTGCCACCCTGGGGGCAGGGCCTTTCCTGCAGGGAAACTCTTCCCACTTGCATCAGCTATGGTATGTCCTTGGGAGTGCCTTCCGATGTCCCTGCAATACATCTGGATGTTTGACATATGTCTCTGGCCCCCAAGCTTGCCCTACACTAGGGAAGTTGACTTAGGGCAATTCCCCAGGAGGAGACTTTGACTCTGGAGATAGCGGTTCCAGGTATCGCCAGAGGGTATGGAACAGAGGTTATTCCTCTGGGGCCCAGGTGCCCTGTGCTGACAGAAACCATGGGGTCTTGTCTGGGTAGGTTTGGGGGATTAGGAGCCCAATGTGGCATGGGAGATCCCAGGAAGGGCTGGATTAGGTACTCACAAGATATCGCGCCTGATGGTCTTGAAAAAGATCCGAATGAAGCGCCAGCCGCCAGACCCCAGGTAAAGAAGCAGCAGGGAGAACCCCACCTGGGTCCAGGGTAGTTTCAGCACCAGCTGGGAGAACAGCAGTACCCCCACCAGAGATGCCCCAAGCAGCATTGTGGCCTGTGGGTACAGGGTAGTCAGTGTACAAAAGCTGCTGGAGTCCTTGAGTTCCTCACATCATGGCTCAGGAAGTCAGACTACTGTCATACAAAGGGATAACACCTAGCCACACTGAGTGGGGTGGCTGAGGACATGAGTCCCTTTCCAGGCTTGGGTCCTATGGCTGGCTGGAAGAGGCAGGCTAGAGGCATGGGATTTGAGGCAAGGAGTTGCAAGGATGAGAGGGAGAAGGCTGGTTGGGTTCTAGTTCCCTAGTCCTATCTCTGCCTGCCACTCGCTGAGTGACCTTGGACAAGACCCTTTTCCACTAAAGGCCTTAGCTTCCCCCTCTGTGCCATGGGTATAGTGAGACTTGCTCTCAGAGGCCCTTCCAGCCAGAACAGGGCAGTCCACTCAACAGCACTCAGGGTCTCTACCCAAGGTAAGGGTAGTAGGTAGAAACTTAAGTGCCTCTGGCTCTATTCCCCACCCAGAGACCCAGGGAGGTTCTGTGGATGGGCACAGCACCCAAAGGGGAAGGGCACCCTGCCCATAGGCACAGGGAGTGCCTTGCCTCTGCAGGCCAATAGAGGGCAGCAGAGCAAACAGGTTAGAGCCTGGAGGTGCCTAAGAGGTGACCGCCCAGGGAAAAAGGTGAGATAGGGGAAGAGGGCCTTGAACGCAACACCATACCCTTAAGAGAAGCTCAGCCCAGCTGAATCGTTTGGTCTGGGGCTTAGTACTATGGGAATTGCTGACTGTGCCGCAGGGGGTGGACTGAGATTAAGACTATTCCAGGCTCTATTCCTGAAGCTTTGCGGACTTGCTCAAAGGGGCAACAGATGGGACTGTTTTCCTTCGGGTTCTCCTATTCCTGGGGAGGGGATGAAGGTCACGACTGTGAAGCAGCCTGTGCGTGTCCAGGCCAGGATGAAGACGACCGCTCTACACTCCCTGCGAAAAGCCAAAAGCCTGGGGAGACCGAACAAGGGCATCCAACCCTAATGCCTGGGTCTCCAAGGTCCTCGGACCTTTGGCCTCCCAGAGCCCGTGAGGGCAGAGGGCAGGAACCTGTCCTGGAAAGCCGAGGGATGGGGCGAGGAGGGGAGGGGAGAAGGTGCTCAGTTCCCTTGGGTCCCCGTCCCAGGCCGTGTCAATGCCCTCGCCCCTAAAAAGCCAGAGTAATGAGGGCTTAGCTAGACACAGAGGGGCAGGATGAGCCCCCTACCTAAGGCTGGCCCTGTCACTTCCCACCGACCTGCCCAGGCACATGCTGCCGTCCGGGGCCTCGCCGGCCAGGCCTGTACTCACCTGAAGTCGGCCTGGCGGCGCGGTGCTCAGTCCAGATGCGCCCTCGCTGCGGCAGCCAAGTGGGGAGTGCGGGGGGCATCAGCCTCCCCTCGGCGCGCAGAGCCGGGTCTCAGAAGCGCTCCACCCGCCTCTGAGCCCTGCATGGCCCGGCCTCTAGGCCGGCCCCACCCGCCTCCCGGCCCCGCCTGCCCACCACGCTCCTCCCCCGCCCACCTCCCGCAACCCAAACCGGTTAGGCCGGCAGGGAACACAGATAACACCTTCGGCCCAGCGGGTGCTCCGCAAATCCTGCGGTGCAGCGCAGCCTCAGCGCCGCCCGACGTCTCCTGGCCTAAGTCCGCCCTGCGTGTGGGTAAGTCTTGGGCGGTGCCGCTGCGCGGGACGCTGGGAATTGTAGTCAACGCCGCGCAGCCACGCCTGGCCGCGGAGACCTCATAGGTGGTGGGGAAAGGACTTGCGGGTTCTGCGCGTATACCTTTGAGTCTGCCTGCCTCCGCCATGGGGAAGGAGAGCACCCCCATCGGCACTGTCAGTTGACAATCGAGCCTGCTCCTCAGTTTAGGGTAGAGTTTCTCAAAGGTCCAACGCCCTGCCTGGAAGAGCGCAAAAAAAGACAATTTAAGGCGGAGAGGTGAACTAGGGCCGCACACTAGTGGCCGGCTGTGTGGCTCAATGGATAGCATATTGGACCTCCAACCGAGCCTGGCGTGGTCATTCAAAGGTTGTGGGCTCGAGTCCCACCAGAGTTGAGTTTTGACCGCTCCTCCTTAATTTCCATTGGACATTTTATAGTTTCCAGTGCCCTTACACACAAACACACAAACTGTCATCAAGTGGATCCGGCTCATAGTGACCCCTCCTTGGCTTTCTGAGGCGGTATTAAAACGGAAGTAGATTGCCCAACCTGCCTTCTGAGGGGTGGTTGGTGGGTTTGAACTGCCAACCTTCTGGCTAGCAGTCAAATGCCTTAGGCACTATGCTACCAGAGCTCTTTATAAAAGTATTGGAAAGGAGCGTTGGTAGCAGCAATGCCTAAGGCATTTGGCTGCTAACCAGAAGTTTGGTGGTTCAAACCCACCAGCCACTCCACGGAAGGATGACGTGGCAATCTACTTCCGTAAAGATTTACGGCCTCATAAGTTTGGGCAATCTACTTCTGTAATGATACCATCTGGGAAACCCAAGGAGGGATCGCTATGAGTTGAATCCGACTCCACGGCAGCGAGTTTGGTTGTTTTTCTTTTTAAATAAGGCTGAAAAACCTTTGCAAGTTTCAAAAGACCCGCAGTTCTCTAGTATGCGAGGCTGCTGTCTGCTGGAATTAAGGCTCAGCAACCCCTGCCACGCTGCACCTAAAGGATCAGTTCTGCAATAAATTTAGTGCCTCGGTTACTGCCTATGAATCCTATCCCATCCCTGGTATCTTGTAAACAGCCTCGCACACCTGGCAGAGGCTTGAGGCAGCAAAGGCACAGATAAGAACCCTACAAAACTTTAACCTGATTGCTACATGCCCTACAGTAAATCAGTTAACCTCTCTACATCAAAGGCCTTGTTTGTCATTCGACTTGCCTAGTCCTGGGCACTATGCCATCTTCCTAGCCCAGCGGGTCTCCGGACCTCTGATAACTTAGTTCTCTGATTGCCAACAATGTTGGACATTGCACAGTTGCCATTTTTCTTTACACTACAGTTCCTATGAGTCTGCTCTAACTCAGGGTGATCTCATATGTGTCTGAGTAGAACTGTTCTCCAGTGAGTTTCAGTGACTGACTTTTTGGAACTAGATCTCCGGGCCTTTCTTCTGAGGTGCCTCTGAGCAGACTCATACCTCCAAACCTTTCTGTTAGGGCCCGAGCATTTGCCCCATCCAGGAATGGTGTTTTATTGATCTGCATAATCTTTTGGTTGGATGGTCCAGTGGAAGTCTTCAAAAGAGAGAGAAGGGAGGCAATTTCAATATTGTCTATTCATAGGGATTAGATATGAAATTCTGGACTGATAAGGGTTTGGGTCTCTTTTGGAGCATAGACTGAATTTTTTGGGGGGACCTGGGTACATTAAGGCACCACCTTCTCTGTGGGTGTCACATTTAGGACTGAATAAATATACTGCAATGATTTTATGGGCATGGACATTGACATCCAACAGACATGGGTTCAAGTTCTCAGATGACAGCTCAAAGTTTCAGTTTCCTCTTATACATAAATATGGGGACATATTAATAGTGCTTACAGGGTTAGTGTGGAGATTCATGGGGAGCATTTAAAGTAGAGCTACATGTATTTATAACTGTAGCTTACAGGCTCACTGACCTCATTGGTCATGATCAAAATCTGTTCTTGTTGTTAGGTGCTGTCAAATTGGCTCCAATTCATAATGATCCTACGTACAACAGAATGAAACACTGCCCAATCCTGTGTCACCCTCACAATCCTTGTTCTGTTTGAGCCCATCACTGCAGCCACTGGGTCAATCCATTTCGTTGAGAGTCTTCCCCTTTTTCCACTGACTCTCTACTTTACCAAGCATGAGATTCTTCTCCAAGAAATGGTCCTTTCTAAAGACAAAAGTAGATGAGACAAAGTCCAGCCATTCTTGCTTCCAAGGAACATTCTAGCTGCACTTCTTCCAGGATGGATTTGTTTGGTCTTTTGGCAGTCCATGGTATTTTCAGTATTCTTCACTCAACACCACAATTCAAAACATCAACTTATTTTGGATCTTCCTTATTCATTGTCCAGCTTTCACACGCATATGAGGCAACTGAAAATACTGTGGCTTGGTGAGGCACATCTTAGTCTTCAAAGTGGCATCTTTGCTCTTAAATACTTTAAAGAGGTCTTTTGCACCAGATTTGCCCAGTGCAATACTTCATCTGATTTCTTGACTGCTACTTCCATGGGTGTTGACTGTAGATCAAGTAAAATGAAAACCCTGACAACGTCAATCTTTTCTCATGATGTTGCTTATTGGTCCAGTTCTGAGAATTTTTTGTCTTTATGTTATAGTGTAATCCATACTGAAGACTATAGTCTTTTATGTTCATCAGTACGTGCTTCAAGTCTTCTTCACTTTCAGCAAGCAAAGTTGTGTCATCTGCATATGTTGTTGTTGTTATGTGCCGTCAAGTTGGACCCGACTCATAGCGACCCTTCCTTGGGTTTCCAAGGCAGTATCACTACGGAAGTAGATTGCCCCATCTTCCTTCCGAGGAGTGGCTGGTGGATTTGAACCACCAGCCTT